TTGTTTTTTTTTTTTATAAAAGTCAAATTTACTGAGCAACCTGGGCTAGTGGGGGGTGTCCCTGCCCATGCCAGGGGGTGGGACTCATCTTTAAGGTCCCTCCCAACCCAAACCTTCCTGTGACACTGCAGGAGGAACAAACCTGATGGCAGGGGACGTACCAACAAGAAGTGAGGCTGGATGATTGCAAGAGGAGAAATGACTGCTTAGCAAGAGGGAAACACAGAATTTCAGTTCAAGTGGAGACTAAATGTGAGGACCGCAGGGCTTGGCTTCACAGTGAGGCAGACAGTGACCCACGCTTTTTGGCTCTTTGCTGGGTTTTTGTTTACCTCATCCGCTAACCGCCCCATCCCCGTGTCATCCTCCCTCTGAGTCACCACTCGAGCTCTCTCTCTGGAATGACAGCTCTGTTTTATTCTGGTTTCCAGCAGGGGTTTTTATTTTGCAAAATGGATCTATTGCAAAATATCCAGCTGGTTGAAAAGCTGCTTTGTTTAGTTCTGGTTTGGGTGTATTTGCCCTGGTTAGAAATAGCCGGACCTCGGACATCTCCCTGCTGGAAGTGCGATCTCCTTGTGAGTGAGAGCTGGTTTATAGGCTGTGTGCTATCCTGGGATTTCTGTCGTGTTTTACACACAGGTTTTACCCTAGTTTGACTTTCCTTCCAAATATTGGCGAACCGCATTGCAGCTCTATCCATGCTCTTGTATTTTAGGCTTAAACACAAGGCTTTGTTTGAAAATATTTAATTTGTGAAAGGGAATGAAGATGCCTTTTGGTTAGAACAGCCTTGACACTTTTGTTTCTATTAAGAAACTTGATCCGTGTGGCTCAAGCTCCATCATGCAGTTTGGTTTGTTGCTGTTTTCCAGGTTCTAGCTGATGCCCAGGCTTCCTCGTAACGATGCAGTCCCGCACAAATCTGTCAGCTGGGATTCCCAGTAGCAAAGTCAAATATTCCAAGCTCTCCAGCACTGACGATGGATATATTGACCTGCAGGTAAAAAATGGAGAAAAAAAAAAAACACCTCTTTCTGCTGCTGCTCGGAACGGCAGCTGTAGCTTCGTATGTGCGCGGGAGGCTGCTTTTGTGCTTGTCCCCATCTCCCTGCCAGCCACCACCTCAGCCCATCTCCTCCGGAAAGCCCGCAGAGCTTCACTGGAAAGAAGATTTAATAGGGGCAGATGCATTTCTTGGGAGGGAGGTGAAAATCAGAGCAGGTCTGAAGGCAGTGGGTGGAAGCAGTGGTCAGCTAGCAGGATCTCCCGGGGCAGGACTCCTCGCAGAAGGGATGTTACAGAGCCCTGCAGCAGCGCTTTGTCCCGTGTCATCCCTGCTCGCTGTGGGATTTCCATCTCTGCCGCGGCAGGAGGGGAGCTGTGCTGGGTTAAGCTGTTTAATGTTTGGGGTTTTTTTCCATCCAGTTCAAGAAGAGCCCGCCAAAAGTCCCCTACAAGGCGATTGCACTGGCTATTGTGCTCTTCATGATCGGGACCTTCCTCATTATCATCGGAGCCCTCCTCTTGGCAGGATACATCAGCAAAGGCGTAAGTGGTTAGGTTCTGTTCCGAGTTTTGCATTGCTTGCCCGTTCCTCAAAACCTGCCACGAACTGTAATGTTCAATGTTAGAAATTCAGAGCAAGAGGCCCGTAGTCATCCTTGTTTGCCGCCAGCACCGTTTCCCTGGCAGCAGAGCCCTCTGATGTCTGGAGCAGGTTCATACCGCGACTGGGGATCTGCCAGGGAGGGCTGGGTTTCTCTGTCCTACCTAGCGTCCAGTTTCATTTAATGCTCCGTCCCTGCAGCAGTCAGCTTGCTGTCCTGGAAAAACAAAATGGAAAAATGTCCTGGGGAAAAAAAAAAAATGCTAGGATCCCCATTCTAGTGAAGATCTTCTGGTAATTTCTGCAGGAGATTCCAGGCTCCTGTGCAGGAGCATGGCTTTTCTCATCTCTCTGCGTTTGTGATCCATTGCCAGGGGATCTATTCTTCGTCGTTGACTTTGTTCCTCTGCGCCACACGTCTCCTTTTACCTGGTGCCGTGTGGAATCGCTTTGCAGCTGGCAGCTGCTGCTTATCGCTGCGGAAACGGCCGTGGTTTGGCCCTATCGGGAGCGGTGCAGGCGCAGAGGACAGCTCGCTCCGGTCCAGCACGCAGCACCCAGCCCGTGGCTGGCAGCTTGTGATGTGATCAGTGCGCGGAGGAGCCGCCCTCCTGTCTGAAGGAGATGTTCCCTTGAGGGTCTCCTGTAGCAAGCAGGAGAGGCCAGACCAGGGAGGGGAATTAGAGCTCAGGCTGAAGAAAACTGGGATATTTCTGATTCAAGATGAATTTTTAGTTTTTGTCAGCTAGCCAGGCCCGGGGGATGAAGTGTTGTGATACGTTGCTGGTGAGGCAGGACTCCAGGAAAAGGAAAGGCTCCCCCATGAAGATCTCTTCTCATTCCCTGTGCTGATCTCTTCTCTCTGCCGCAGGGCACGGACCGCGCCGTCCCCGTGCTCATCATCGGGATCCTCGTGTTTCTCCCAGGCTTCTACCACCTGCGCATCGCGTACTACGCTTCCAAAGGCTACCGGGGCTACTCCTATGACGATATCCCGGATTTTGATGATTGAACGATGTATTTAATTACATTCATAATTAGGTTGCTGGTAAGAGCTGCTAGTTAACCCCAGATATCAGAGGGAGCCCGTAAGATTGCAGAGGAAGTACATCAGTCACAAGATGCCCGTTCCTGGTTTTGAGGTTTTGCAGGTTTTTCATTTGGGGGGTCAGGGGTTCGAGCAGGGAATTGACCACAAGGATTGTGACATTAGGAGGGGGAAGAACATGTGATTTATTGTATTTTTCCTCTTTTGGTTACATAATGCTGGTTGCTTGTAAGAAGTTCTTATTGGGCAAGGCAATTCTAGCAATTTTCCAAAATTAGATGAGCCAGTTTCAGCAGTGAATAATTTGGTTTTTTCTGTTTTATAGAGTTTATTTTAGTTTTTAGTGAGATTGTGGTTATCGTCAGGTTTACCTTTGCAGACAAACACCAGAGTTAAATTCTCCTTGTGCTCTCTGTCCATCAGAAACGCTTCCAATCTCTTTCTCTGGAGTAATGAAAGTCAGAGGTGTACAAGAGGGGGAAAAACTGCACTTGCATGAAATAATTTACACGTTGTGCACTGGCTACACAGCTCCTCTTGTCAGACTGACCAAGCTTATTTCCTCAGCAAACACATGCTTCAGAAGCAAGTCGCTTCCCGTGCTGCTGTTGCTTTTGGCAAAATCAGCTTATCCTTTAAAAGAACCATTGTTGGATTTTTTGTTTATTATTTTAAACAAACCAAATGGATACGGGGAGAAGAATTGGAATCTGGACCAGGACTCAAGTGTCTAAATACCAAAAATCTTGGGTTTGATGAGTGTGGCTATTGGAGAAGCTTGAATTCCAGCTGTCTCTATGTATATTTGGGATCATTTTGTCCTTGCCTAGATAACGGGCTGTGCATAATTCCCTAGACCAATGAAAATAAAATCTCTGTATAGTTTGTACTGAATAAATCCCGTTTGGATTGTTTTGCAGCTTCACTGGTACGTTATTTGGGGAAAACAGATTGGTAGCTCTGTTTTATGTAAAAGTAAAAACTGTCTCCTGAAGTGGGAACAAAGTCAGCGTCCTCAAGAACAAGTACGTGATGAGTAGTGTAAATGTATTTAATAGGATGTATAAACGTCCCTGTATGCTGTGAATAAATCAATACAAATCATAAGCTTGTCTGTTCACATTCACAGATCTCGGTCTGCGCTAAAAGCCGTTCTGGGCAACCAGATCGAGGCTTTGGCTGAATCTGCTCTTGCCGACTGCTCCAAGCTGCTCCGGTAGTCGCTCCAATCGGCGCTGGGCTTTGCTGAGCTGGCAGCTTTGGACCAGCTCCGCCTGCTCTCCAGGACCCTGCCTGGCGCTGGGGCAGGGCTTTGGGGCAGCTGGGGTTACCCTCCGTAGCGCAGCAATCCAGAGTGCCCTGGGTGCAGCGGGAGAACGTGCTGCTTCAGAAGGTCAGGATTTGCTTCTTTGAACCTCGCGTGCAGCCCTTATTAAATGTGCGAAGACCCCGGACTCATAATCACTTTGTTTCAGGGTCCAAGCACCCGGTTCCTTTTGTTGGAGCACTGTCTGATCCTCCAGAATTGGTGGGTGTGCCTTGTAGACTGAAAATGTTTGAAAGGAGGAAGGGCAGGTATCGCGGTTAGTGCAGAGCAGCTCCACAGAGATGTTGAGATGAGAACGGTGCTGGATGAACACCTTGCTCTGAAAGTACTCTTAAAATCGCCTTTTTTTTTTTTCCTCCTCCAGTGTTCTAGATTAAACTCAAAGCCTGAGCCGAGATCTTTTTCTAACCTACATCTCTTCTCGCTTGACTTTATTGGCTCGCGCGTGCCCCAGCGTTGTTCTCTGAGGAATAACTGATGGAATTCGGGTTCTCTCTTTCCATCTCTGAAGGCAGCAGCTGTTGCGTTCTCTCCAGCGTCACGCCGGCCCTCGCACGTCTTGCGTTCCTGGCGCTGCTGATGGCAGCCCTGCTTCCCAGATGTTGTCCCGTACGGCCGAAAGATGTCCGTTAAAGCCGGGTCCGGCCAGGAGGGTGGCTGCTGATGCAAAGCCATGAATCAGCCTCTGTCAGGAGATAAAAATGTGGGTTTGTTTGGCTTTGGGGAAAGGGGAGGGGAAGTGGAAGGGAAGTTTAGATGGACAAAGAAAAAGGGGGAGGGAGATGCTTTCAAGTGGGGCTGACAGGATGCAGAAGGTCAGGAAGCCTGGGGTCACTGAAAGGGAGAAGTCAATGTAGGGGAGAGGAGAAGAACGTGCTGATGTTTCTGGAGGAGAAGCAATTAATTTATTTGTTTGACAGAAGCAAAGTTCTCAGGCAGCACAGTGTATAAATAAGAACAGTCCCTGCCCTCATGCTCGCAGGGCTGTCTGTGTGAGGGATGCCCATGAGGAAATGTTCCTCTCTACAGGGATTGTGTTAGTTAATTTGGGAAAAAGGAGACACCTGGGAAAGGAAAAAAAAGGCACGCTGACTACTGGAAAAATGCAGATGCACACAACTGCATTCTCTGAGTTGACATCTTGCATTCTAAGCGCGGTTTTCCCCCAGAGTATAAATCTCTAGATGCTTGAATGTTTATTAATTGTCTAGTTGTAGTGTAGCTAATAGCCAGGGTTCCATTTTCTCTTGTAAAACAGCACCAGTTTACATTAATTTCAAGAGAGCGGAAAATTTTTCCTGCAAACACTTTGTTTCTCGCAGCCCGGTCCATACCGTAGTGGTTGTGCTCCTCTGGTGTAGGTTTGAGTGTCATGGGTGCTGTCAGCTCTTTTATCTGTTAAAACTTTACCCAAGGAGGAAGCTTTCCTCCCAACCAGGGCTGTTGTTCCGATGCCTCTGTGTGGGTCCATTCCAACAGGATCTTTCTCATTTTCCTCCCACTCCACGCAGTGGGACCGGCATCCGTGATGTGTGCAGCTGGCTTGGCTCCTCTGCTGCCTTCCCTGAGCTCCCCGACCGTGGGGGACGTCCCATGTGCTGTATGTGCTCCTTGGCATTGCTGTTGGTCATTCTGAGGTTCTCCTTGTGCTGACGGGGAGAAGAGCAAGGCCCAGCACCGATCATGAGGTGATGTAGCAAGAGGAAAGTTGAGGTTCTAACTCCCTGTTGTCTTTTCTCAGCAGTGATGTGTATTTCCTCCAGTATAAGCTCATCCTCGAGGATGGACGGCATGCTGTTGGACTGCCTGCAGAGCAGGGTGGGTGGAAGGAGGCTGGGCCGGCAGCAGGTTACTGATAGTCCTGAAAATATTTTAGTAAAGTTGTGTGAAACATCTGTGGAGATGAGGGAGAGAGAAGGTGATGACTCACGTGGAGCATGCTGGATGTGACCCCCCTTGTGCTATAAATAACAGCCCTCGAACAAACGCTCTGAACAAACAGCACAATCTGCAACAGCATCTCTGGTGCTTTTCTGGTCCCCGTCACGCATGAACCCTTCGACCAGCCCCCGTGCTGGAGCTTTGCTTTCTTTCTGTCAACAGCAATTAGCCAAATTCAGCAACACGAGCCACGGAGAGGCTCAGCGCCGTGCTGCCGCTCTTACGGCAATATGGATTTTGCTGAGCATAAAAGGCGACGTAAAAACCCTGCAGGGCAGGAAGAAATGACTCGGCACAACAGTTCTGTCCCTTCTAATCAGATTTCTCCTACACTCTGCTTACGATGTGGTCTAAACGAGTTTCTCTGTGCTCTCTCCATACTCCTCCCCCTCACGCCCAGTCCTTAAAAGCCCCCGGCATCAGCCCGTTCATCCAACCGCCCCTCGCCTCTTCTGCCTCTCCCTAAACCCCTCCTTCAGCCTTCTCCCGGCCCTTCCCTGGGGTGGCTGTCCTGCTCTGCCCAGCACATCTCTACCTCCACAGCGCCTCTGGGATCCCTGCCTGATCCTGCCTTTCCGCCTGGCGCTCTCCTCCGGAGCCGCAGCTCATCCCTTCAGCGCGTAAGTGCAAATTACCCGCCGCTCGCATCTCTCTGGCCTCCCAACCACTAGCAGAGACCTTTGCTGTGCCTCTTCCAGCTCAGGGAAGTCAGAAATCCTGCCTTCGTTTTTTTGTCTGCTTGGCAAAAAGGAATGTTCTTTGCCTTTCTTGTGGAGCTCTGCGTTCGTGCTTTCGTGCTGCGAGGCAGGCGGCACGCTGTGTTCTGCGCTCCCCGTGTGAAATGTGGATGTGCACATTCGCAGCATTTCCTTTCTCCTTCCTTTCATACACAGGCAGCTTGAGGTTTTTAGGAATGTTGGATTTAACTAAAAATAGCCCAGATGGTTCGGTGGGCCATGGGAGATTCCTCCCTCCCAAGAGAATTAATGGCCTTTGTTCTGAGATAGAGCCATGGGGCAGGGGCAGGGAGGGGGGAAATCTGGGAATGAAGCTTAATTGTGGATTCGAAATTATTGTTTCCAAATTATTTCATGGAGTGTTTTGCTTCTTCATGCTCAGGCAGAGTTTGGTTTGTGCTGGTTAGGTGCGTGTTGCCTTCAGGCCTTTCCTTCTGTGCTTTCAGCTGTGTCTAGGAAGGTGTTAAGAAATTTCTTTTAATTGAAAGGAAGGCAATTATTACACCGTCTCTTTTGTGGCCTGCGTGGACAGAGCTTACTGAGCTTCCTTATGACAAGAATCTGGAAGCGAACGTTTCCTTCCTCCACCTCCTGCTGGTCACGGAGCTGTGATGCTGTCCCCTGTCTCTGGCAGTGCCTCTGGCAGCGAGGCAGACCTGTGAGACTCAGACAGAGCTTTTCCATCCTGCTGCGTTACAGTCAGGAACAGAACGGTGATGAATCCTCTCTGAGCAGACTCCTGCTCCTCTGACATAGGACTTTTGGCACCGAAAGCACCAGTTCTGTGCAGGAATTGCTATTTCAGCCTGGGCTGTTAAAACAAAGGAAAAAAAAATCCGCTACTCACCACGAATTAACTTTATTTTGAAATATTTACTTGGACTGAAGTAGTAGCTGCTCTTAAGTGTTTAAAGGATTAGCTGCCTGCTAGTCTTTCGTGCCTGCAACCATTTATTTAAGCTGTTGCTGCAAATCATGCTGTTAACCTGTCATGTGAGGTTTTGACCTTTCTTTCCTTGTCAGTGGGAAATGCGGAGGATACACGGTCTTGCTGACGTTAATACATCCGCGGGGAGGTCTTCTGCCTT